ATTGATAAAACAATGTCAATAATTTAACTGGTGTGCTAATATTTTACTTATTTTTATCATTTTTTATTGTTGTTCACATTCAGTTGTCTCATTTTCCCACCATCACTTTCCCCCACTCCACTTACCCCCTCCTTCCATCGTCAATCCTATCCCCTTTCGCTTTGTCCAAAGGTGCTTTATTTATGTTAATTGAACACCAATGCCCTTCTTCCTGCCCCCTGCTCCCACATTACCTCTGTGGTTCCTCCCTCTGGTTACTGTCAGTTTGTTCTTTATTTTAAAGTCTCTGGTTACATTTTGCACTCATGTTTGTTGTGTTGATTAGGTTCCTCTTATAGGTGAGATCATATGGTATTTGTCATTCACAGCCTTGCTTATTTCACTTAGCATAATGCTCTCCAGTCACAGTCATGCTGTTGTGAACCACAGGAGGTCCTTATTTCTTCCTGATGTTTAGTAATCCATTGTGTAAATGTAACACCATATTTTGAATAAACTGATGGTGGATACAAGACTTAAATATACATGATACCATACAAATCATAGGGGACAGCAAAGGTAGGGAAATCTCATATATTCTACGCAACAATATTTTCACAAATATGTCCCCTAGAGCAGGGAACACAAAGGAAAGAATAAACAAATGGGATCTCATCAATATAAAAAGTTTCTGCAAAGAAAACATAATCAAAATGAAAAGGGAACCAAAATGAAAACATATTTGCCAGTGACTTCTGGGCCAGGGTTATTTTCTCCAGCATACATGAAGAGCTCACAGGACTCTACTTCAGGAAGACAAGCAATCCAGTTAAAAGGTGAGGAAAGAGCCTGAGAAGACAATTCTCCAAGGAGGACATACAGAGGGACCCAGAGACATATGAGAGGATGCTCAGCATCACTAGCCATCAGAGAAATGTTTGGTAATGGGTTAGGTAGTCAATAACTTTAATTAATTACTAGATGTCCTAGAAGTGAGCTTTCACTTTCAATCTTATCCCTGACCTGATAAGAACAAGAACTGACTTTTTCTTCTCAGAGTTCATGGTCTGGGGACACCTGCCTGTTGTTCCTAAAGCCATTTGTCTGGGTCATGATGGCCTGGGGAACAAGGAAAATCTCCCCCTTCTTCCTCTCCTGTGCTGAAAGGAACAGGAGAAGCCAGAATGTGTGATGGCTACCATCTCAGAGAGGCTGAAGTTTCTACAAGAACCTGTCTTCCCATAACAGTACACACAAGATTCCTGATGAAGGATTCACCTCCATATGCTCCTGCTCCTGGGCCCTGTGGGAAGACAGGGACACAGATATGACTTATATGCAACATCCCAATGTAGTGATAATGGACACACAGGGAATTTTGGAGACTAGCATTCCAGGCCAGCACTTTCCTTCAAAAGCCTCAGAATAATCTTCACTACACCCTTCCTTTGAACACTTGAAAGCACAGAGTTCTGTTTGAAACAGTATATCTCCCTGGTGGTACAATTCTCCTGACACTAAACTCGTAATAGTTGGGACAATGCCTGCCTTATTTATGGGCTCATCCTACAATGGTCAACATTCCTGTGTTGGGTGCAAGTCTACCTCTGTCCTCTAGGGAGCAACATTGAGACAAACATGATACAGACACAGGAAACCTGGCTTTGCATAAGTAGACAGAGGAGGCTGATTTTCATCCCCTAATTTAACAGGCCTTTCTTGGGCCCTCCCTCCTGCCTGCTTTGTCCATTCTGCTATTTGTAGACACTGTTAAGAAAAGGGGCTGTGCAGCAACCCTCACAAGCTCAGAGGGCCACATAGCAAACCTGCCAATCATCACATTATAATCACATCTGAACTTTTTAACTGTGCAGGTGATGGCAGGTTGTCACATCCCAGGCCTTCATTTCCCTTAGAAAAGGTCAGTATTTAACTTCAGTGAGTCCTGAGGTCTTATTTTTTCTTTTCCTCTTGGATAACATAACTTTGACACATCAGAGGTATTTTCTTTGCTAGACCATTCAGTGGCACAGAGTCTATGACATGTACATGAAACTATTACAGAACAAGAGGTCTGAGGGAGGGGCAATACAATATTTGGCCCACCTAGGGATGCCAAAAACTGCTGCACAACAGGTGCCCTTCCCAAGGACAAAATACTAATATCTACTGGGCTCTTCTCTCCACCGCCAATTGGAAAGACATCTCTCAATGCCAGAGATTTGTGGAAAGGAAACAAAATATTTATTTAATGCTATTTAGGCCTAATGCCTCCACTAAAATATCAAAGTCCTTTAGGGTATACACCTACACCCACACAGCTCCCGCTTCTCCCACTGTTCCAACTCCAGGTACCGTAAATCAGGAAAAGAGCACACGTCTGTGTTTGAGACTGCTGGCACCATCAGCTGTGTCACCGTGCAGGCAGAATCTCTCTCTAGTTAATCCAGAGTTATGTGGTACCCTCTCATGGTCCTCTGGCAAGAGTTCTTTGTACCCAGTTTCAGTGGGTACAAGTCTCTCTTGCTTTCCAGGTCATGTGGCCTAAGGGGGCACCCCAAAGCCGTGTGGGCCTCTTCTATCAAAGCTGCAGGGGTTCACACTCCACCAAAAGCATGTGGCTTCCTTCTTCACCTGGCTGCAGGGATCTCCATTCTGGCAAAGCTGCATGGTTTTCACTTCACCTGAGAAAGAGGGGGTCTGCACTCTGCCAAAACCACGTGGCTCCCTCTTTCACCTCACCAAGAGGGGGTCCTCACTCTGCTGAAACCGTGTGGCTCTCCCTCTAATGGCTGCTGTGTCCGGCTTTTAAATTCTTGCACCCATCTTCCTTTGTACCCCTATTTTCGACTCCTTCCAAGATCAGTTACACCTCCCAGTATTTCTGTATTATTGCAAGGTTACTGGGCTGCCTCTGTTAGTCTGGGCAGTAATCATCCCATGTCCTAGAGCCAATCTTCTCCAAGCTCCCACGCAGGCACTGTAAATTGGGGGACCTGCCCCCAGGTACATCTTGGGGGAAGTGACTTAATCCCCCTAGCTCCAAGCCTGGCCACTGCCATTTAACATATCCAAGTGACCCGCCAAAGGCTACAGATATGCCAAATGACCATGCCATGGATTAGCTGCAAGGCTGTGGCTGTACAAAAACAGCCCTGCATGTTCCTGCTCCATGTGTCCCCCCAACTCACACCTGTGGGGGAAAGGAGTGAGGACATCTTATATGTCTCTCCAATATTCCTATACACCTTGAATTCTGGACACCATTCCAAATCTTTTTTTTTGGAGGCCCCCCTTGGCTGCACCCTGTATCAAGACCACAGAGTCTTTATGTTATTGGATCCTCTGCACACCTTCTCTGTGTCCTGTAAATGAGAATTATCCTGTACCCAACAACATAAAAAAATATGTATTTCTCCATTTTGCCTTTTATTCAGTTCTAGAGATTTCTCTGCTATGTTTTCTCTCACCTCCTAATAGGTTTTATGGAACCATGTTCAACATCTACTTTGGTTATAATATAAAATAAGCTACAAAACCGACTTCACAGAAATTGACAGCTCACTCCCAGACATATGTCAGTTTGGCTCAGATAAACTCATTAAATTGATCTATAGATTTGAACATTTTTAAAAATTATTTTCACAGGGTCTTAGAGCATCTTCTCCCTTACAGGGTTCTGTGCTGCTCTATTCCTCATGAATGGCATTATCCATGGAAGGTGAGGTGACCACAAGAAAGCTGCCCAGCTAGAATTCAGAGGTTCTCCCAACAGCCAGCAACACAAGAACAGGCCAAACAAATAGATGTGGAGAGGGGTGGTTGACATGAAGCTGTCCCCTGAAATAAAGAAAGACCAGAGGCACCCAAATTTCCCCACAGTCCTTTCTTTGGGGGACATTAAGGACACTTTCCACTTCATAACCCAAAACTTCAGGTCCAATGGAGACTCCTGGTTTTGCATGTTTGTCCTGGTAAGCAACAGCCAGTCTGGTGACAATTTGAAATAAGAGATGGGTCCTTTCTGCAATTATCATCAAGCTTGACACCTGCTCGCACCCAAGAGTCATCTCTGTGACCTTCTTGCTGGGAGGAAATAAAACCTCAGAACACTTAGAACATGGAAGGAACCCAGTGCCTAGTGGGTTTTTGTTTTACAAACAGAAATAATCCAGGTTTTCTAGGACACCTATGGCTCTCTGAGTGATGCTGACAGTCTTAAGACCAAGTCACAGTAATGGTCAGTGTTGGCCTTAGTGTGTCATGCTCTCAGGGATGCATGTGCCCCCATCAGCCTTGCTATAGCAAGTGTACCCTACAGGTCAGTTGGATCAACCTCTCCTGACAGCTGGTCAGATGCAGAGTCTCTTACCTACTGCAGCTCAGAATCTGTAGTATAACAGAAACTGGAGACATCATCTCTGCACAGGAGAGCAGGACAAGTTGTTCTACCTGTGATCATATTAAGCAATCACAATTTGAATGGGCACCCATAATACCTGGAGAGCTGTTGAATGCATTTTTAGGATTTCACTAGGAAATAGAGATGTTTACAAAGTTTCACAGGGGATCTGATGCACAGGAGGGGTGACATCATTTTGATGGCTTTTTCAGAGTTAGCTCTAGAACTCCTGCTCTGAAGGGAAAAGTCTAATGTGAAAGAGAGAGAACTGAGGGGGAGGCTACTGAACAATGAACAGGTATCTATGGGGAATGCCTGAAACCCAGAACCCTTAGGCTTTTGTTTTTCATAAAACAACATAGGAGTGTGTGTTTATGTAAGTGTAGTATAGAAGTTCTCAGGGAACAGGAGTTTAGAGGAGCAATACTGTTTACAATGTATAAGGGTAGCAAAAATGACAGATGGTAGAGGGAGGGTAATGAGCCAATACCAAACCCTCAGCCCACATGACAAGAATAGTGAACATACCTCAGAACAAAGCTAAGTGCATGAGTGGGGCACACAGCAGACTGCATCATTCTGGACAGAAGTGATTGTGAGCTGTACCAAAGCTCAAGCTTCTCTCAAGGAGGTAGCCACAGAAGGGACAACATACACCATGGGGTCCTCTTCAGTGTCTACCCACAGAGGACTCATCCACTGGCAAGAGGTCCTGCTGGTTGGTAAGTAGGAAAAAATTCCTTGGGGTAGACTAAGGATCTAACCCAGACACTGGCTGGGATCTGCTGAAGAGACCAGTGCTCTGAGAAAAGAGGGAAGGCTTCTGTCAGGACCTGACAGTAAAGAAAAAAAGAGCAGAGGAGAATGGAGAAGGTGGCTCAGCAAGAGGAAAATCTTGTAATCTGGAAGTGGTGAGAGGTGGGAAAACCCTCAGCTGCTGTGCATTTCCTGTTATTTTTTAGGCTGATATATGGATACATCAGGAAGCACCTGAATAATTGAACCAGCACTGTTAGACATTGTCTTCATCACCAATCTTTGAAATGAGCCAATATATACTGGATGTATAGGACACAAGGATGATGCATTCACTCAAATCCATGTATTTCCAGGCTGTTGCAGCCACTGGAAGTACAAGATGAGACAAACCCTATTTTCATCAAGCCCATGTTGTATGGAGGAGAGAGGGACAAGCAAGGATCTAGATGTGGTTTCACGTACCCACACCAGCCATGAAAAAAGACAGTAGTAGCAGGTCAGAAAGGGGAGGCAGAAAATCTTTAGATAAGGTGATCAGCAAAGGTGCCTTTCAAAAATGCACTTGATTATCAGGTGGTGTGTGAGCACAGTGAATAGGTGACCAAAACAAGCAGCTGGAGAATAGTATTTGAAACCCCAAAATTAAAAGCTTCAGAGGTGCTGATGTAAAAAGGACCAAGAGACCAGAGACCAAAGTCTCTGACCTTGACCTAAGAGAAACTAACTCACTTTCAGACCAAGGCTGAGACATAAAAAGATCCACTCAAAACTCATGGCCCCATCTTTCCACCCCAAAAAGTAGAAAAACATAATGATGCTTTTTTCTTATTTCTTAGTCTCACTCTTAAACTTCTGGAGCCAGCCCACCATGGCCCATGTGAGAATTGAATGGAACGATGCTCTGGAGCAAATGGATGCAGTTCTACGTATCCGCGATCAGCCTCGCAATGCAAAAGTCTTCCTGTGGTTTAGGGGAAGTAACATTGACATCTATAGTAATATTGCATATCTTTTAGTAAACCAAGGAAATTATATAAGAGGTCCTCCAGGTGGACAAGCAATAGTAAATGATGATGGGTCCTTGGTGTTAAAGAATGTCACCATGAAAGATACAGGAATCTACACCTTAATGATCCAACTGCACGGCTGCCAAAGAATGACATCATGTGGAAAACTTACTGTATACCGTGAGTCATTGTTTTCTAACCTCAGGGTGTCAGGTGGGGTAAATTCAACCTCACACACAGGACTCATATACCCTGGACACTTCCCTTGGCATTTGGGTTCAGAGTGAATTTCAGCACTTCATTCAGGACACACAGAAAAAGCAAACTTGCTAAGACCTCAGTTCCCTTCTCAAATTTCAGCCTTGCAGACTGTCAGTGCAGACACAAGGATCAGTTTGATTGGACTAAGTCAGCAGAAGGAGAGCAGACTAATTTCAGTGCCCTGAGCACCTACCTATTCACTTGACCTTGAGAATAACTCTGCTGTACTAGGTCAGAGCACAGTCTGAGAGGCCCCCTGAAATTCTTACACAGCTCAGCTCACAAACCCTTCCCAAAAACCCTGCCCCAGGGATATATACTCCAAGGATCATGATGAGCCTGTGCTGGGTTGGGTTTGGCCTTTTCAGAAGGGCTCAGTATGTAACAGTTTAATGGTTGCCCAACTTACAAGGCTGCTGAGGTGGTCTCTAGTCAGGACTCATGACCAAGACCTGAATGTTGCCAAAAATGGAGTTTGGTCCATCACCTGAGTTTTGTGTGAAGAGCAGAGATAGACAATATCCTTGTAGCTAGCTGGCTATCTTGGGGTTCTCAGGAAAGTTCAGAAGAAGGTCAGCATCCCTAAAAGAAAATGAGAAAAAGAGATGCTTCTGGAAGTTTTTCATTCACCTGGGATGAGCCAGGGGTTCTCTCTGAGAGTTGATTGATAACAGATGCCTCTTTTGAGCTGCTTTTCTATTTCAAGATTTAGGTCAGATCCTCTAAATATTTTATAGTCATTACACTGACACCCTGGCAGCCCAATATTCATTGAGAAGAAACTGAAAAACAGGGAGATACAGTCACTAAAGGATAATCACACACACCAGGAGCAGGTGATCAAGGTCACTAGAAATCTCTTTGTAGTCACAGATTTAATTTCTCTACCTCTGGGGACTTATGAATGACTTTGGATTTCTAAACCAGCAAAGTGATTCAGAGCCTTTTCTCTTAGGTGTCTTCAGTCACAAGAATACATTTTGGTTTGTGAAGGGAAAAATAATGGAGGCAATCTATTTTTACTCTAGAAAAACATTATCTTCAGTAACATTCAAAGTCACTGCATAGATTACCCAGGCATCCACCTCAGGTGGCCCATAAATACCTCCCTGCACTGGACTTGACATCACTTATTTCTTTCCTGTTCTGGTGCAGTCTCTCCCAGCACATATAAGTGAAAAAAACTTTCTTTCTTATTCTCCACACTACCCCTGAAACCAGCTCAGGATGAACAAGCACTCAGTTTCTTTTGATGAATAAGAAAGAAATAAATGGTGATTGAATGAAAGAATGAATGAATGACTCAAAATCTCTTCAGAGCCTGGAACCTGGATGTATAGTCTTTGGAATCCTCACCATAGGGAAGACTTTATTGGTTATAGGAATTAACCATCATCTCAGATCATTTGCTTTTTCTAATAAAATACGACTTGCTATTGGTCTTAGGCCCTGGGGTATTAATAATAATTTTCACATACAGAAGAATTTTAAGGGTTTTTCCAATTTCTGTTTCATAGCAACTTAACACAAATTGCCCACAAGTGCCGAATTTCAGCAAGTGCATGCTGTCCACCTACTCTAAGACACTGATTTTGCATCTGTACAAGTCCTCACCTGCCCTCAAGAGAGAGAGAATGGCTTTAGGGGTCAAGGGCAGGGCACAGGATTCTGTTGCCATTATCAGCTTCTGCCTGTCCTTTTTCCTCTTTGCTAAATCATTTCTTGAACTCTGCTCTATCATGAATTAGCTCACTGGCTCATTTCAGTCACATTTACCTGGAAAGACCTAACCTACCTCTTAGCCCAGAGCTTGAGTAGTCAACTTATCACTGGCTTGCTTCTGTTCTCTATGTGTTATTTCTGCTCAAATCCCATCCAGGGTCTAGGATGTCCTGGGGAATAGTGCTTCCTAGAAACACACCTCAGCTGGGCAATAGATGTCTGTGCAGCTGGAAGGAGTGGCTTCTGGTCAGGCAGGCAGTCAAGTGGTCAGTGAAGAAGCAGTAGAATTGCAGCAGTCTCTGAATCCCTGTCTTATGTGTTTCCTTAACCAACAATGATGCTTAACCGACACCTGAGAAAGTCTGTAGTTCCCCCCAGAAATATAGCTGGAGGACATGCATCCTCAGAGTGCTCTGGTTCCCAAACATGTTCTTGTGATATGCTGACTTGCCTTGTTAGTTCTAAGACTCAAGTTGACTGAGAGGTGAGAGGTACCAACTGTACTTGAAGAAGCTTTTGAAAATATCAAAGGTACCACACAGGGCTTTTTTTTTTTTGTCTTTTCTACAGTGCAAAGTTAACCACAATCAACATCAGAAGCAACAGATTCAACCCTGAGTGTTTTGATTTTCATTTTTGTACATAAAAGTGGTGTTGAGTACCTTCTATAACTGTGTGCCATTTGCATATATTCTTTAGAGAAATGTCTATTGAAGTGTTTTGTTCCATTTTTAAGTAATATTATTTGGTTTTGTGGTTGTTGTTGAGTGTAGATTTTTCAGTGTATTCTAGATATTAACTTTGTTTTTCATATGACTTGCAAAATATCTTCTCACATTTCATGCATCACCTTTCAATGTGTTATGTCGTTTTGAGGAACAGTTTTATTCTGAGAATATCCAAATTGTCTATTATTTCACCTGTGTTCTTAGTGGCACATTCATAAAATCATTGCCATATTCAGTGTCATAATGCTTTTCTCGATAATTTTATTAGCATTTTAAAGGGTTAGGTAAATTTTTAGATTTTAATGTAATTTGACTTAATTTTTGTTAGTTGATATTAATATAAAATTAAATTTGATATAATTTTGACTGAATTTATCGTAGTATCATACAGTTGTCCACATCATTAATATTCATGTGGATATTGTTCTCCAACACCATTCATTATAAAGACTGCATTTTCTCCATTGAAATTCTGGCCTTTCCTTTTTAAAAAAATAATTAATTAACTTTTCAGTGTTGCTCAAGCAGGTCTTTCTTTATTTTCCTGCCACCACGTTTCCCCATCCAAACCACCTCCACCTCCAACCCACAATCCTCTCACTCTTTGGCTTTCTGTATGAGTACTTAATACAGGTTTCATGATGATCTTTCCCCCTTCTTTCCCCAGTTATTCTCCTCTTACCTCACTCTGCTTACTCTCAGTTTGTTCTTTATTGCAGTGTCTCTGGCTATATTTTGCCTGAGGTTATATGGGGACAGAAAGAAGTTGCAGTTTTTTTCTTAATATTGTCATCTGAACTTAGACAATTGACCTCCAAACGCCTGGACCACCATCTGATGACCTTTACATAAGTCACTGTGGGCTGTGAGTGGCTGAGATCTCTGAGGAAGCCAAGTAGCTGTGCATCTGAAGCCCATTCTCAGTGAGTTTCATTCTCTGTTTCTCCACAGCCCATGTGAGTGTGCCCACCCTCCTAGCCAGCAACACCACAGTCACAGAGAATAAGGATGCGGTGGTCATGTCCTGTGACACAAACCATGATGACATCGAGTGGTTTTTCAATGACTCAAGTCTGAAGTACACACAGAGAATGACACTGTCACCTGACCACAGAAACCTCACCATAGACCCTGTCCTGAGATGGGATGCTGGTGATTACCAGTGTAAAGCCTCCAACCCCAGGAATGGTGCAAAAAGTGCTCCACTTAAGCTGGATGTGAAATTTGAGTGACTTTCCTTTTTCCTCTATGTTGTTAAACTCTAAATAAAGTTGTTTCTTACAATATTATAATTAATTCATTCTGAGAGTGCATAGTTCTTAAATATTTACATTGAGTCAATAAACACTAAAAAAATGTGAGCCAACATTGTCATTATTGTTATCTTAAGGTCACATTTCAGACCAACCCCACCTTGGTTTGGATTCATGTGTACCATGCCCACAGTGGAGGGGTCATTGTGACACTGTGTCCCTCAGAGGATGAGCAGTAGTTGTGTAATAACAAATGAGAGAAAGTAAAGAACTCAGCGAATCTGAGCTCTGTGTATCATCCATGAACACATGTGGAGGACACCTGTTGTAGACAATGGGGATGGACAGGAGGACAACAATGTACAGAGCAACAATGATTTTTGTGTTTCTCTTTGATGTCTTTCAAAATACTTCTAAAGTCTCTTGGGTAATCTTCCTTCTATGCCAATAAAACTGTTTGCATGAGTTCAGTACATTTCTGTTTTTTTTTTGTTTTGTTAATGAGATATAATTGGAAACTTTGGTAATAAAACCAAGGGTTTAGTTCAAATGTTCTAGTTCAGACTGATGCACATGGAATTTGAAATGACCTCATACTTCATAGAGCTAAGCTTCACAACTCCAGATTTTTCATACATCTTGCAAAAGTGAGTGAAACTGGAGGTGAAGTGTTTGGGTAAAGCTTCCTAACTTCAAGATGCTTCCTAACTTCCAAACTCAAGGTGTCCACAAAATATTAGAAAGACATATAAAATATCCTTACCCCTTCCCCCACACAGGTGTGAGTTGGGGGGAGGAACAAATGAAGCAGGGCCATTGAGAGCTGTTTTGTACAACAAGGGCTTTGTAGCTAACTTCTGGCATGGTTATTTAACATATCTACAACCTTTAACTGGTTGCGTAGATATGTTAAATAGCTGTGGCCGTGCTCTGAGCCAGGTGGAAAGGAGTGACTTCCACCCAAGATGTAATTGGGGGCAGGTCCCCCAGGTGATGGCAAATTTGTGAGAGCTTGGACAAGATTGGTTCCACACCATGGGGCCACATCTGCCCAGACTCAAAATGGCAGCCCAGTAAAAATGGAAGGATTTGAGAGTTCTGGCAAGTGTAGCCAATTGTGGGAGGAATTGGAAATGGGGCTGCAGAGTAGGACTGACACATGGATTTCAAACCCACACTATGCAGCCATAAGAATGTGGATCACTCGGCTGTGGCAGTGAAGAGAGAGCCACATGCAGCTATAGAAGAGACAAAAATGCAGCTGTGGTAGTGCCAGGTGAGAGCCACACAGCCAAGTGAGGAGAGATCCACGCGGCTTTGCAAGAGTGCAGAAACCCGCAATTTGGGTAGAGAGAATCAACATGGGGCTTTAGCAGAGAACCGTGACTTGGTTTTAGCATTGATGACCTGAGTGCCTGCCTCCCTACAACTTTGCAAAGAAACATGGGGTTTTGGCCAGAGCGGGGACCCCCGCAGCTTTGGTAGAAGAGGACCATGCAGCTTTGGGGTGCTCCCTTTGGCCACATGGCCTGAAAGCAGGAGAGATTTGCCTAAAAGAAAGGTGAAAGAACTCTTCCCAGTAGGTCATGAAAAGCTGCCACATGGCTTTGGATTAATTAGAGATTATGCCTAGAAGGCAACACAGTTGATGGTGCTGGCAACCTGAATCACAGACACCTGCTTCTTTTCCTGTGATGTAGTACCCTAAATTAGGGCAGGGGAAAAAGGGGGCACTATGGGCATCTACGGGTATCCTAAAGGACTTTGATATTTTCATAAAGACCTTAGGTCACTATGTAAGTCTGTATAAATTTAAATAAACATTGCCTTTCCTTTTCACAAATCTCTGGCATTGACAGACATATTTCCTATATGGCAGCAGACATAATGAACCGGGGGGGGGGAGGGTACTTTCGATCTTGGTCCCTTGTTCTGTAAAACTCAATTATTGATATTTTAACATGTACATGAGCTAAAACATTTGGTGTTTAGAAATGTGATTTCAGCCCTGGCTGGTGTGGCTCCATGGCCTGAGCTTCAGCCTGTGAACCAAAAAGTCAGCAGTTTGATTCTCTAGTCAGGGCACATCTTTGGGTGGCAGGCCAGGTCCAGAATAGGGGATGCAGGAGAGACAACCACACATTGATGTTCTCTCTCTCTCTCTCTCTCTCTCTCTCTCTCTCTCTCTCTCTCTCTCTCTCTCTCTCTTTCCCTCTCTCTAAAAATAAAATAAATAAAATCTTTTCAAAAATGTGATTTCAGGCAGTAAATAATAGTACTGGAAACCTCTTATTATAGCTCATAAAGTGTGTGGCAAATGTTCTATTTGTCCAAATATGACATGGAGCCCAAACACATTTCCCACTTTCTTCAGGTCCCCTTGACATGTGGGTGGTCCTTCCTCTGCCAGGTAGTTTAGATCTTCTGGCTCAATAAAGACCAATTAGTGGAGACCATGACCCTGAAATGGCACACCTGAAAAAGCTAATGACTATTTATTGAGATCCTGCCAGACTACACCTACAACATTGACCTTTTGCATGCAATAAATGAAGACAAAGAAATAAGTATGCAGCCTTCTTAATTTATACCTACTGAAATATTTTTTGTTTAATATATTTCTTTCTTCTAATGCCTGAGGGGTGCCCACAAGACTTGCAATCGGGGAGAAATGGGCATTGGTAGCTTGTTTCAGAAAACCCCCCAAAACTTCCCCCAGAGTCCCTTTCATGTCATTGTGCAATAACTAGAAAGCAGTCCCTCCAACTCTCACATCTTTCCCTTAAAGCTGTAATAAAACCACAGCAGTGCCACGTACTCTCTCTACTGCTACCCTTTTTATTCTAGGCCCACCCTTGGTTAACTCTCCCCAGCTTTAATACACAAATGCTCAGAATCACCTGGGCTAACTTTGGGGATTTCTTCCTGCACAGTCAAGAATCCAAGCACTACTGGCTACCCTTTGGCAAACCTGCCCTGAGCCAAGTTCCCTTTCTGGTAACATTTTGAAATTTAGAAGAAATGCAACTGCAACAGAAAAAAGAGGGATGTGCGTGTTTAAGAAGAGATATAAAGAGTGTAGTTTATTTATCCTTATTAGTTGGCCATTACTGAATAAGTAAAAAGAGACAAACTAAGATCAAGGGAGGTTGTAGAAGGTTACTGGAAAAATATTCAGAAAGGAATTTTATGAATAAATGCTAGAATCTAATTATTTGAATGTCCTTATACCATAACTCAACAAGGACTAATAACTGTATTAACTTAAATGGAAGAGCTGAAGTGGCTATAAAACAGGACCCTCCATACCTGCTGCTGAAGCAGAGGAAATGTACTTGCGAAACTCTTATTGTCCTCCTCACCTGTGGAACGTTTAGACGGTAATAGTATATTACAAGATTGTGTTCTAACACTCTCGTCCCCAAATAAATCTTAAGGTTACATCTTCCAAGTATACAACTAGCAGGAATCTGATTAATAATGAGTAACAGTTGTTCCATAGTGAATACAAACCCATCTCACACACAGATGATTAAAACTGGATTGGTGTATAGTGTGCCCTCAAACTATAAGTAATGAAATACAAGGTGCAAAGCGCAGAGACATGAGACAGGAAAACTTAGATCATGAAAGCTTCTAGGTTAGAAATGATCCAGAGTGTTTTTCAAATAAAGGCCTGTGGGACTAACTGCCTCCCATTTACCTGATTTTCACTTTTGAGAACATTTGGCTTTGACTTCCATCCAAGGTTATGTGTTTGCTGCATCACCAATGCTTTATCCTTTAGCAAGACAAACACTAACACTTAGACTTCCTAAACATCCCTTCCTACTAACACTTGAGACAATATTATCTAACTATAAGATGGCTCACCAATGCTTATTTAGGTTGATTTATTACAGAAAGGAGCAATGTGGACACAAAACTGGCCACATACTGAAACTGATGAGCTCAGGGGAGGCCTGAAAGGTGGCATGTCCAACTTAGAAACCTAAAATAACCAAATAGGAGGTTTTGAAGTTAAAACTTTTTACCAACATTAGGTCATGGTGGGTAGTCATGTCTGAGACCAGTATCTTTCTTGACAAAGGTCAAACTTTACCTTAACTGAGGCTTTCTTCTTGCCTCTACCATAACAAGTCTGAAAATGTCAGGGTAATTTACTCATTTCCAAATCCCTCACTGCACCATAATGGAGACAACATACCTTCTCTTTACTATGGTTATTGTGTTTGCTGTTAAAAGCTAACTCTCCTGTACCAACCAACCTAGTATTTGTATGCGTCCATTTGTTTTACTTTTCACACAATCTCAAAGATTTCTGAGATTTTCTTGTCCCCACATCCCTAATATATTCTTAATGGATTTCTTGTAACCTCTCGGGCCTATGGCTTTGACAGTATAAAATAAAAAGGAAAATTGCCATTCTTCAGAAGAATTTCTCAATTCATTTAGATTTTTCTTCTAAGCAATTATGGTCACTTTTGCCTCAAATATACTCATAAAAATTCTCTTCAGGTTGAAGCATTTGTTATGGTGACAGGTGAAAACTCCAAGATTGTGATCAGAACTTGGTCTTTCTGGTGACCTGCCTTCACTCTGCAGCAATCCAGAGGCCTGTCACAATTGCATCACCTCCACAACAACAAAAAACCTCTTATCGTCCTCATCTCTTAAAAAATTTCAATTTCATTTTAGTAGGTCTTTTTTTAAATTCAAGAAGTAAACCAAACATATTTTTATGACATCACCAAGAGAATTGACACTAAATGAGGTAGAATCAGTCACCCGAGTGACACGGCCTTCATGTGGTCTCAGACATGCTAGGTATTGTCTTTGTTTCCTGGCCATCTATTCTTTTTTTTTTTTTGTATCAGAGGAACTGAATGGTAAAAGACTACCTTTCCCCTACTCCTAGTGATTGAGAATCCAGGACTGAATTCAGTGCAGTTTCTGACGTGCACTGGCTCATAACTGAG